GTTTTCACATTAATTGTAATGCTATTGTTACATAGTATTTTATTTTTATAAAAGTGTAAATAAATAATTTTATGTTAATATCTATTATATAATTAATTAATAATGTTTTTATTCAAACTAATGTAATGGCTCTGAGGAGAAGATGACAACCAATGTGAAGATGGTTTGTCTTGATGTGGCAATGAGTGACATGGGAGTTAAATATGAAATTTTGGTGCGCGTCATTTATGAATGGCTCGTAAATATGATTCTTCATAAGATATAGAGGCCAAAATAATCATTTTTTAAAACAAAGAGCGAATTTTCACAACAAAGTAAAAAAGCATCAATTTTCCATTTTAACATTAATTTCAAATTCTTATGAAGACTTAATAATAATGTCCGACTGCGATATTCTGGGTAAACTTATAACTTACTATTTAATTAAGCAACAAGGCACTTTGTACTTCCACGTGACACTTCCACACACTTCACAGACATCCGCCATTTTCTTCAACTTTAAAATTGCCATCTATCGGTGGAAACGCTAACTAAATATTTTTCTTTTAATCTTATTTTGAAGTTCTATATATATTATAATAAAATAATAATTATTATATTTTATTATATAATGTTAGCATTAAATATTTAATTTTGTAATATATTTTCGATTGTTATTTGATTTGCGAATTTATTTAAAAAAATCATTTTTATTTTGTTAAATTACGATTGGACATATTATGATAAAAGGCATCCCCAAAGCAGTGAGGTGCAAGACTCTTTGTAGGAAAGTGCGAAGATATGATCAATATCATTGTTTATTTTCGGGTAGGCTACAACAGCCACACATACTTAATGTTTTATTCATTAGTTTTCGAACAATGTAACACTAAAAACATTCGCAATTTACGTGTTTATGTCATTAACATTATTACATTTTAAAGTTATCTTATCATTTTAGTTACGACTACAATGTAATATCATAAAAATTCTATTTCATTTAGCGATAGATATCTTTGTGTGCTATTTTAATTTTGTGTTGAAATATAATCGGTAGGTATACCTTCAAAGAAAAAAAAAAATGTAAAAAATATATCCTAAGAATACGCCAATATGCTTTTACGTGTACGGAGTGCAGAATTTTTCAGAAAGTAGAAAGTGCATCCCTCGAAAATGTTTGAAAATTATTTTTCTATAGCCGTCTGGAATCCAGGTTCAAATGTATCTTAACTCTCGAGATTTTCCATGGATAGTTCCATGGATAGGCTTTTATTATTTATGTTAACCCGGATGGCCAACACATTTAAGGACACAGCCCACTAGAAGATCCGGGATAAAACCCTCTAAAAATTTCTCAAGGACGGATGCTATTAAATTTTGGTGGTTAAAGGTGAAGAGGATCACTTATCATATCTGGAATGGGACGAACTTAATGAAGATTTTACTTGTTATTAGCATTCGCAATTTTTTATAAAACTCATAAAACTTCTATAAAAATAAGGCTTTTTATCATTTTATAATAATTAATAATATAAAAAGTTTTTAAAATAAAATCTCATAACAGACCACACACAATTTTAAAGTTTGGCCGGGAAAGTTATGCAACTCGTTGCTGAACAGATTTTTAAAATACGTATTATTATGCCTCATAACTACTTTTTCATAGAATATTGGCTGTCCTTTAGTTCGAGTTAATAAATAATTTAGGCAAAACATTTTTTTCGATTTAGGAGCATTGATAGATCTTCATCGGAAAACGATGATGGCTGGATATCGACAATATTTTGGGACGTACTGTACTGTACTAATTTTGATAACGTTAAACGCTTGATAATAATATTTGTGATTACAATAAGCGGAATCTAATAACAAAATTACTTGATAAATTTTATTATAAATACTTTAGCCTATTTATTTCGCATTTATAAAATATTCTGACTTAACAGAACGAAATCTTTTCTTTTCATCTTTTTACTTTTTTAGTAACTTTTACATTTTGTAATTTAATAAATTTTATATTAATCTCCGATAATTATTATAGTCCTATATATATATATATATACTAAGAGGGCTTTTCAGACTCATAGGCTAGGCCAGGCCCACATTAAGGCGGCCAAGTGTTGAGGGCGAGGGTTGGACATATCCAGAACAAACCGCTATGAAAATTCCTAAGATTGCTCGTCCTCATTCGATCCTGGATTCCCCATAGATTAGTCAAACGCCTTACACTTAATTTTTTAAATATTGCATGTTTATAGTAATTTAAAATTTATACTATTGCTAAATAGTATTCAAGTGATTCGCACAATTAAGAAAAATAATGAATATTTATGTGAAAATAAGTTTGATGTTGGTAAAAGAAATGGGTTTAAGCACCTTTTCTGTTTAACATTTCAATAGCGCGCATCGACTTTATGTCTGCTCCATTCTTTTAATTTGAATACCATCGCGTTTATCGAACGATATATTATGCTTTATAACAGATCTAGTTTTCTTTCATTGGTTAAAATCAAATTGCGTGATCTAAAGGGTGACAGAACTAATCACGGATACTTTCACATGATAATATAATTTACTAGAATAGCAGAACTATGTGTCATATAAAGATTTTGATCTTTTAATTAAAATTTATTATTACTGCATAAAAGAGAAAAAAATTAAAGTATAGAATATAAAAAATCGCTTGTTATTTAATATTTTCGCTTCTAAAAAGCTAATTTTAATAATAATAATAATAATAGAAAATTCTGCTTAATATTTAAATTAATAAGGAAAAAAATTTTTTTAATTTATAAAATAAATCTATTTTTTGCTGCTGCCATCTGTCGAGAATCAATTTAACTAAGAATGTGTGTGTAACTAATATATAGACAATATTTCGTAAAAATAACTTTTGACAAAGTTATCGTAATGAGAAAAGTTTCTTTTCTTAAGCTATTTCCATACGATTTATTTGCATATAAATCAACAAAAATTAAAAGTGTTAGATAATTAAAAGCTTTATCAAAATTTCTCATCGTAAAAGATAAATAGAGGATGGAGGCCATCTATTTTTTAAAAAAAAGTAGAAAGAAAAAAAAACTGGCTGAGTTAAATTCTTTTGTACAGATGACACATCTTAATTCTACAATCACGTGTTTATTACCGCTCTCGTCATAAATAAGTCCATTCGACTGTGCCATCTGCTGTCCGTTAAAAGAATTAAATTAAGCTTACACTTTCTCTTCGGCCGTTTCTCAAGTTAAATATGTCTGACTGCCGTTTTCAAATTCTAAAATGAGAGAAAAAGTCTTGAAAAAATCAACAATTCGTATAACTTTTCAAAGTTTAATTTTGATGAAAATTCTCTAAACAATAGTTCTTAAAAGGAATTATCTGTAGCCTTAGAAATAAATTATTTATGTTATAATAACAATAAAAATTCGTTGTAGAACTAAATTAAAGAGATAAAACATAAAACTAAAAAAAATTAAAATATATTATTGCTTCGGTAAATTATATATTAAATTGTAAGAGTATTTCGGAATAATTTCCATAATAGAATGCAAAAATTGAGGAAAATTGTAGCAGTTTAATAAAATTTGCAATATTTAAATTTATTAAAATATATTTTAAAAAATAATATCTCGTTTTACTTCAAATAATTTTTTTTAGGTAGCTTTAGAATAGAATTAAACCATAATCGAACTTAAAATACATGCAGGATAGCCGGTATGAGGTAATGGTTCTTTAATTTACACAATACTTGTGCCAGAAAAGACCCAGAAGGCCCATAAAAATAATAAATTATCACAATCTTTACAAATTTCACCAGATTTTCGTGATTTCGACCAGTTTAAAAATAATAATAAACCTGGTTTTTGTTATTTAAATGTCAGAAAACTATACCAATAGCGTGTAATAGAGAAACGAGCCCGACAAAATAGTGAGCCGTGGCCTGATCTGAATATATAAATACAGTAAAATTTATGTGTATCAGAATCTCACTGTACCGAATTTTGTTCGTTTTAAACTGGTTTTGCTGTAGATAGGTTTACTGTACTTAGTTTATATTGTAATTACATATTTTAATCTAAATTTTAAGTCAAAGAAGATTAATACTTTATCTTTATAGAAACATTCAGTTATTAAATAATTACATTAATCTATCCACTTAAAATAACAGTCAAACTGACAGATGTTTGCTATATAAATATAAAATAAATATTTCATAAGAAGTTGAATATCTTCTAATAATCTATAAAACATTTTTTTTTCGCTACATATTATTTCATTTTATCTACTAGTAAAGTTCGATACCGGACAATCATATTTTTTTCAGACAAATTGTAGATATAATTCAACCGTGAAGCAAAAAGTAACTGAGCAAAATCCAAAAATAAGAAAGACAGAGAACAAAATATTGAACTATATCAAACAAAATAAAGAAACTGGAGAAGCAAACAAAAAATATTAATCTTCATTAATTTCAACACTCGTAATAACTCTTCATGTCTCGAAATCTAGAATATAATTTAATCTTTATATTCAAAAATCAATTATTCGCTGTCTTTAAATTTTATCACTGTTAAATTAGTTTTTTCCCAATTTTCTATGAAGCATTTTTCATAAATTTTTTTTTTTTTTTGTGATTTATAGATATATATTTGTATGAAAAAATACTTCATTTTAGTTCTTCTTCGAGATAGAAACATAAAACTTTTGAAAATACAGCTCTACCGAAGAAACTTCCTTGAAAATCCAAAATAATTTGTGGAAATATGACAAAATATATTTTATTAAATCAAATATTTAAGTAATGTATCTCAGTTTGAAAATTGAAAAGGTGCTATATTTCATTCACATAATTCACTTATGTGAAATNATTTAATTAAGCAACAAGGCACTTTGTACTTCCACGTGACCCATAAACTGAATAAAATCAAAATTACCATTTTTATCTAAACACTGGACTTCATCTTGACTACGCAATTTCTGTTCTGTATTCTGTTTTGAACAACCAGTTTCTTTATGTTTTTTATAACAAGTCACCGAGCAACTATAAAAGGTATGAAAATATAAAAAATTATTTACAAAAAGTAATTTATAATGTATTTTATATGTTAATATATAAAATTTTAATAAATTTATTGTTTTCTCTGATATTCAAATACAGTATAATTAATTTTAAAAAATGAGACAATTTATTATTTCTTAAAATAAAACTTCTATATATAAGATTTGGTTATGACTAAACATCTCATATTGATAGGATTTTCATTATATAACTCATTATTATTTCTTTAACAAGTTAAACTGAATCTATAATTTTTGGCATTTAGATCAGAAATGAGCTTAAATACTCTCATTTTCTAAATAAGCTCAGAATCATTGAAACAAAATTTTTCTTTTCATATACACATTTAATCATATTAATTTTAATAACAATACAATGTGAGATAGAGTTAAAACTTCAACTAAAGTAATCTCTCCAGTTAATAAAAGTAAACAATAAGTCCTAATTTTGATAAAGAAAAATATGCTTTTAACAAAATATGAAAAATAGTAAATTTATAATAATAATAATAATAAAAACTTTACAAAATTAAATGTTCTAGCTCTTTCAGCTCTAAAATATATCTAGAAACTCAAGTGAAAAAACTTTTATATCATGAAAGCAAGATAGATCATCATACTGTTACATCATTTTAACATTGAAGTAATACGTAAAAACAATTATTTATTGTGACACTGTCACAATGCTGAGCTGCAATTTTTAATCATATTTTTAATTTTTTTAATAAAATATATGCTCTCCATCTCAAATTAGTAATGGCTTCTCCCTGTACACCATACTTTTCCTTTAACAATAAAGTTGTGCTGGTCATCTATCTAACACTTTTCATAGAAAAATTTTTGAATTAAAATAATGTGACTTCTGGTTTGCATCAGAAGTTCATATATAGTTAATTGAACCTCCTATCCCTAACATTTCTATAAGTGTTCTCTTCTTTCATCTATCTAACACCATTCTTGAGATTAAGGAAAGATGAACAGACGAATGACAGTGGGAATTTATAGGTCTACAATTTTTTTCAAATTGCAGTCCAACAAGAATGACAAAATACAGTGGAACCCCATTTATCCAAATTATAATCTTTTAATTCTTGTCTAGGAAGTATAAAAGTTAGTCATATGGAATACCTATAAAAATAAAACATAAAAAAAACTAAATAATACTAATAAAAGTTTCTTCAATGGATTTGGTTGTTCATTATAGGCCTATATAATTTTTAAAATTTTTACAAGAAAAATCATTTGAGCTTAACTACTCAATCTACACCAACTTCTGAGAATTAAAATATTATGATGTTAAAATTCTCTGCAAAAAATTTTTATTTGGATTAAAACTTTAAAATACAATTTCCAAATGCATTTTGTCTTAAACACAGGCTCTTCAGTGGAAAATACCACAACTATCTTTGTGGAAAATACCACAACTATCTTCACAGGAAAATACCATACTATCTTATCACAGCATGCATCCTGCATTATTTCTTTATTTGAATTAATGTTATTTACATATTTTATTATATTATAATGTTCTTTGTTTATTTATAATATCACATTAATAATAAATAATATTGTGATATTATATAAAGAAAATAATTTAATTAAACAAAGAATTAAAGAATATTATAATACAGTAGAGTCCCGAAAACTCGGCACTCAATAACCCGGCCAAACCCTGGCAGAGCAAAAAAACATCTAATTTTCATTATAGACAGATTTATGTTTTATTAAATATTTTTCTGAGGTCTGTCTTATCAGGTAAATTACTGTACACTCTGTATTCATTAATTTTCATTTTTGTGTAGTAATGGCTCTATGCCTTCATAAAGTACATACTTTTCCTTTGTTTAAGGATATTTGGGCAGTTTATTCTCTGTTATATTCTCAAGCAAACAATACATACAAGTACAGTACAGTATTTTCTGAGAACTCCACACTCTTACTTATTCTTTTTTAGCCTGATTCCTGATAACCCAGCATTTTCACAAACTCGGCCACCCTTTGGTCCACATTAGGCCAAGTTTTCAGGACTGCTGTATAATAAAATATATTACAACTCATAGCAGTAACACTTGGGCCTTACTTTCTTTGTAAATTGTTCAGTACTTGCAATACCAATATAGTGTTGTTTGTGAGATACCTGTATCTTAACAGAACCATGGTAAATTCCACAATGTTCACATATCAATACAATAGATGGTTTTGTTGATTTTTTAAAGTCATTTAACTACTATGGAAGTAAGTTTTGGGATAATTTATATAAGGTCATTCCCAGATTTACATTTTATTTTGGTATTTTTACTTATGTAGGGATTGCTTATAATTGTGAAAAGGTACTGATTGCATTTGGCAAAAATAAAATATATTTTTATGCTTGTTATAATTTATATAATGTAGATGATGCCAAGTGTATGGATATTGATAAAACAATCTCCAGACAAAACTTTCCCTGGACACACATGCCTCCAATATTCTAACAGTATCATCAATTGAAGAATAACTCAAACTCGTGGAAATAATAGAATTTTTTAAGCATTTATAAAATTTTAACTAATCTATTTATATTTTTATAAATATAATTATTCTTAATACCTAGCTTGTAGCAAAAGTAAAAATTTGTTAATGTAATGCTACTAGGACAGTTCATTTTCTGTCCAAACACAAACTAAGAATCAAGTTGAAGTGCTAGTAAATCATCAAATATTGTTTTGAGGGCATCTATGATGACCACTTGTTACTACTACTGAAGTGACATCACAGCTGGCATAAAAGAAAAATTAAAAAATTGCACAAACTCATGCTAGCAACCTTGTATCTTTAAAGTGAAATCATACAACTCCCTAATTTTTATTAACTTCTTAATTTTCTCATTTCATATTATATAAAAAGACAAAGTTTAATCAAAATTGACCAATCAAATTTTGAGAATCACTCAATTCTATAAGCCACATAGAAGAGGCTTTGCTGATGCTACACCTCAATTAAACAAAACACAAACTCCTTTGCTGGAGTTCACTTTACTTATGAAGTATTTTTTATAAAGGAGTAAACTCCTGCAAATCAGATAGTTTTTGTTACTTTTAAAGCACTTGGAACTGTTTTCACATTAATTGTAATGCTATTGTTACATAGTATTTTATTTTTATAAAAGTGTAAATAAATAATTTTATGTTAATATCTATTATATAATTAATTAATAATGTTTTTATTCAAACTAATGTAATGGCTCTGAGGAGAAGATGACAACCAATGTGAAGATGGTTTGTCTTGATGTGGCAATGAGTGACATGGGAGTTAAATATGAAATTTTGGTGCGCGTCATTTATGAATGGCTCGTAAATATGATTCTTCATAAGATATAGAGGCCAAAATAATCATTTTTTAAAACAAAGAGCGAATTTTCACAACAAAGTAAAAAAGCATCAATTTTCCATTTTAACATTAATTTCAAATTCTTATGAAGACTTAATAATAATGTCCGACTGCGATATTCTGGGTAAACTTATAACTTACTATTTAATTAAGCAACAAGGCACTTTGTACTTCCACGTGACACTTCCACACACTTCACAGACATCCGCCATTTTCTTCAACTTTAAAATTGCCATCTATCGGTGGAAACGCTAACTAAATATTTTTCTTTTAATCTTATTTTGAAGTTCTATATATATTATAATAAAATAATAATTATTATATTTTATTATATAATGTTAGCATTAAATATTTAATTTTGTAATATATTTTCGATTGTTATTTGATTTGCGAATTTATTTAAAAAAATCATTTTTATTTTGTTAAATTACGATTGGACATATTATGATAAAAGGCATCCCCAAAGCAGTGAGGTGCAAGACTCTTTGTAGGAAAGTGCGAAGATATGATCAATATCATTGTTTATTTTCGGGTAGGCTACAACAGCCACACATACTTAATGTTTTATTCATTAGTTTTCGAACAATGTAACACTAAAAACATTCGCAATTTACGTGTTTATGTCATTAACATTATTACATTTTAAAGTTATCTTATCATTTTAGTTACGACTACAATGTAATATCATAAAAATTCTATTTCATTTAGCGATAGATATCTTTGTGTGCTATTTTAATTTTGTGTTGAAATATAATCGGTAGGTATACCTTCAAAGAAAAAAAAAAATGTAAAAAATATATCCTAAGAATACGCCAATATGCTTTTACGTGTACGGAGTGCAGAATTTTTCAGAAAGTAGAAAGTGCATCCCTCGAAAATGTTTGAAAATTATTTTTCTATAGCCGTCTGGAATCCAGGTTCAAATGTATCTTAACTCTCGAGATTTTCCATGGATAGTTCCATGGATAGGCTTTTATTATTTATGTTAACCCGGATGGCCAACACATTTAAGGACACAGCCCACTAGAAGATCCGGGATAAAACCCTCTAAAAATTTCTCAAGGACGGATGCTATTAAATTTTGGTGGTTAAAGGTGAAGAGGATCACTTATCATATCTGGAATGGGACGAACTTAATGAAGATTTTACTTGTTATTAGCATTCGCAATTTTTTATAAAACTCATAAAACTTCTATAAAAATAAGGCTTTTTATCATTTTATAATAATTAATAATATAAAAAGTTTTTAAAATAAAATCTCATAACAGACCACACACAATTTTAAAGTTTGGCCGGGAAAGTTATGCAACTCGTTGCTGAACAGATTTTTAAAATACGTATTATTATGCCTCATAACTACTTTTTCATAGAATATTGGCTGTCCTTTAGTTCGAGTTAATAAATAATTTAGGCAAAACATTTTTTTCGATTTAGGAGCATTGATAGATCTTCATCGGAAAACGATGATGGCTGGATATCGACAATATTTTGGGACGTACTGTACTGTACTAATTTTGATAACGTTAAACGCTTGATAATAATATTTGTGATTACAATAAGCGGAATCTAATAACAAAATTACTTGATAAATTTTATTATAAATACTTTAGCCTATTTATTTCGCATTTATAAAATATTCTGACTTAACAGAACGAAATCTTTTCTTTTCATCTTTTTACTTTTTTAGTAACTTTTACATTTTGTAATTTAATAAATTTTATATTAATCTCCGATAATTATTATAGTCCTATATATATATATATATACTAAGAGGGCTTTTCAGACTCATAGGCTAGGCCAGGCCCACATTAAGGCGGCCAAGTGTTGAGGGCGAGGGTTGGACATATCCAGAACAAACCGCTATGAAAATTCCTAAGATTGCTCGTCCTCATTCGATCCTGGATTCCCCATAGATTAGTCAAACGCCTTACACTTAATTTTTTAAATATTGCATGTTTATAGTAATTTAAAATTTATACTATTGCTAAATAGTATTCAAGTGATTCGCACAATTAAGAAAAATAATGAATATTTATGTGAAAATAAGTTTGATGTTGGTAAAAGAAATGGGTTTAAGCACCTTTTCTGTTTAACATTTCAATAGCGCGCATCGACTTTATGTCTGCTCCATTCTTTTAATTTGAATACCATCGCGTTTATCGAACGATATATTATGCTTTATAACAGATCTAGTTTTCTTTCATTGGTTAAAATCAAATTGCGTGATCTAAAGGGTGACAGAACTAATCACGGATACTTTCACATGATAATATAATTTACTAGAATAGCAGAACTATGTGTCATATAAAGATTTTGATCTTTTAATTAAAATTTATTATTACTGCATAAAAGAGAAAAAAATTAAAGTATAGAATATAAAAAATCGCTTGTTATTTAATATTTTCGCTTCTAAAAAGCTAATTTTAATAATAATAATAATAATAGAAAATTCTGCTTAATATTTAAATTAATAAGGAAAAAAATTTTTTTAATTTATAAAATAAATCTATTTTTTGCTGCTGCCATCTGTCGAGAATCAATTTAACTAAGAATGTGTGTGTAACTAATATATAGACAATATTTCGTAAAAATAACTTTTGACAAAGTTATCGTAATGAGAAAAGTTTCTTTTCTTAAGCTATTTCCATACGATTTATTTGCATATAAATCAACAAAAATTAAAAGTGTTAGATAATTAAAAGCTTTATCAAAATTTCTCATCGTAAAAGATAAATAGAGGATGGAGGCCATCTATTTTTTAAAAAAAAGTAGAAAGAAAAAAAAACTGGCTGAGTTAAATTCTTTTGTACAGATGACACATCTTAATTCTACAATCACGTGTTTATTACCGCTCTCGTCATAAATAAGTCCATTCGACTGTGCCATCTGCTGTCCGTTAAAAGAATTAAATTAAGCTTACACTTTCTCTTCGGCCGTTTCTCAAGTTAAATATGTCTGACTGCCGTTTTCAAATTCTAAAATGAGAGAAAAAGTCTTGAAAAAATCAACAATTCGTATAACTTTTCAAAGTTTAATTTTGATGAAAATTCTCTAAACAATAGTTCTTAAAAGGAATTATCTGTAGCCTTAGAAATAAATTATTTATGTTATAATAACAATAAAAATTCGTTGTAGAACTAAATTAAAGAGATAAAACATAAAACTAAAAAAAATTAAAATATATTATTGCTTCGGTAAATTATATATTAAATTGTAAGAGTATTTCGGAATAATTTCCATAATAGAATGCAAAAATTGAGGAAAATTGTAGCAGTTTAATAAAATTTGCAATATTTAAATTTATTAAAATATATTTTAAAAAATAATATCTCGTTTTACTTCAAATAATTTTTTTTAGGTAGCTTTAGAATAGAATTAAACCATAATCGAACTTAAAATACATGCAGGATAGCCGGTAGGAGGTAATGGTTCTTTAATTTACACAATACTTGTGCCAGAAAAGACCCAGAAGGCCCATAAAAATAATAAATTATCACAATCTTTACAAATTTCACCAGATTTTCGTGATTTCGACCAGTTTAAAAATAATAATAAACCTGGTTTTTGTTATTTAAATGTCAGAAAACTATACCAATAGCGTGTAATAGAGAAACGAGCCCGACAAAATAGTGAGCCGTGGCCTGATCTGAATATATAAATACAGTAAAATTTATGTGTATCAGAATCTCACTATACCGAATTTTGTTCGTTTTAAACTGGTTTTGCTGTAGATAGGTTTACTGTACTTAGTTTATATTGTAATTACATATTTTAATCTAAATTTTAAGTCAAAGAAGATTAATACTTTATCTTTATAGAAACATTCAGTTATTAAATAATTACATTAATCTATCCACTTAAAATAACAGTCAAACTGACAGATGTTTGCTATATAAATATAAAATAAATATTTCATAAGAAGTTGAATATCTTCTAATAATCTATAAAACATTTTTTTTTCGCTACATATTATTTCATTTTGTCTACTAGTAAAGTTCGATACCGGACAATCATATTTTTTTCAGACAAATTGTAGATATAATTCAACCGTGAAGCAAGAAGTAACTGAGCAAAATCCAAAAATAAGAAAGACAGAGAACAAAATATTGAACTATATCAAACAAAATAAAGAAACTGGAGAAGCAAACAAAAAATATTAATCTTCATTAATTTCAACACTCGTAATAACTCTTCATGTCTCGAAATCTAGAATATAATTTAATCTTTATATTCAAAAATCAATTATTCGCTGTCTTTAAATTTTATCACTGTTAAATTAGTTTTTTCCCAATTTTCTATGAAGCATTTTTCATAAATTTTTTTTTTTTTGTGATTTATAGATATATATTTGTATGAAAAAATACTTCATTTTAGTTCTTCTTCGAGATAGAAACATAAAACTTTTGAAAATACAGCTCTACCGAAGAAACTTCCTTGAAAATCCAAAATAATTTGTGGAAATATGACAAAATATATTTTATTAAATCAAATATTTAAGTAATGTATCTCAGTTTGAAAATTGAAAAGGTGCTATATTTCATTCACATAATTCACTTATGTGAAATATGACTGATGGAACATGAAATTCTCTAGAAATAGGATGCGTTACGATTTGTCATGTGAAATGCTACTTATAAAAAGTTATGCAAAAAAAAACATATCTATGAAAAGATTTTTTTTTTTTGCATATCTAGACTTGCATATAAACCTACTAATTATTTTATAATTTAACTTAGCTTAATTTTTAATCTTTTAGTATTATTTATTTAAAATAAAATATGGCTATTAGGATAAATAATCTACTGTCACGTAGTAGATTATTTTCCCAATAGTTACAAACTCTTTAATGAATTTTAAAAGTGGTTAAATATTATACAGTATAATAGAATAAATCTATATACAGTAATACCCCGAACTTACGCGATAGGTGGGACCGAGCGATAACCGCGTAAGTCGAATTCGCGTAACTCGGGGTATAATTTCGAAATTTGTGTAAAATCCAAGTCGGTTGTATATAAGCTAATAAATGTTCTCATTAATCTTATCTCGTCTTTTGATTCATTCACGGTTATAAGAAGTCTCTCAAGTCTCGATATACACATACATAGAGTACACATAGAGTCTCTCAAGTCTCCGTAGATACAGTATAACAAACACAGAAATAAATGACACAAAATAAATTGTAGCTATGTGTCGATTCCGCGCGTCTGAACATCTAAGCTGAACAATAGAGTGGGGGGAGCGAGTAATCGAGAGTTGCGTCGCGCTGAAGCAAAAGACGAAACGACAGATTTGAAAATCGCGTAACTCCGGGTTCGCGTAAGTCGGGGTAGCGTAAATCGAGGTATTACTGTACTGTGTATACAATTGAATTTACGTCTTTCTGACCGTCTGCCTGTCTGTTCTAGTATTACGCGACAACGGCTGAATCTTTCTCAGACTATAGAATGTATCAATATTTAGAGTAGATTTTGTTGTAAAATTATTTTTGGTCGGATCAATTATATTATAAGTTTATTATAATTACATATTTTTTCCCGTATATACATTTTTATATGTGTGTATTTTTATATCAGTATATTACTTGACATATCATTTTCCCGATCGAAGCTGGATACCTCAGCTAGTGATTAAATAAATTTATAAATATAATATTTATATACATATATACTTATTTGTATAATGGTTATAATCTTAATTATTTTTACTTCTATGTTCTTATTGTTTTTCATTTCTGTATATATAACAAGCTTCAAGCATAAGTTTAACTCATAAAATTAATTTCTTTTTCTAAGTTATTTAGAATATTCAAAATATAGAATAATATTTCAAATATAATTATATATATATATATATATTCGAGTGCTATATTTGCAATGTAGCATAAGAAAATTTTAGCTAAACACATCACAATAATACATTTGATTAAATTAGTAATCGAATGAAAATGAATAAAGCCAGTATTTATTAAAATTATAACGTTTTAGCTTATTAAACATAAAACCGAAAAATTAATTATTTATTATGATAAATGAAAACATCGAAGACGTTTTCATTAACCAAGAATAATTTAAGAATCTCAAATAAATCAAAAATTAAGTTTTCGAGTTAATGACCTTAATTCGTTTAGATTTTAAATAATTAATTAATTATCATTACTTTTATCCTATTCTCTGTAAAGTTATAAAAAATTTATGTTTAAAGATACAGGATTGAATAAAGTTACGAACATCCATCCATAAGAAAAAAATTAGTGTAGACCTAATATTAATAACAAGTTGCAAATAAGAATAAAATAAATTGTTTTATAAATTTAAACATTTTAAAAAATTTATTTTATCCAAATTAATATATCACATTTTTTATTTTTTAGTGGAATACTCGTGGGAAACTAACTGCTTACAAATTTGTTGATGCAATCATTTATTATATAGGCGTATGACAATATATACAAATAGAAATGATTAAAATTAATTAATTTTATTAAAGACTGTACTTTAACAACCTTTAATAAAAATGTTAATTTATTAATTATTAGTAGAAATAAGTAAAAAATTCAAATAAATATATTTATATTACCAAAATATAATTATTAAAGCTTTTAAGTATGGAATATAATATTCATATGCAAACTGTAGCCTGCAGCAAATTCAATTTGTATGAAATGAATTGAATTCACTATCATAACACCATAACACTAAATTCAGAATTTATAAGTATATTACCTTTAATTTATACTGTGTAATGTTGTATACTTTTATATATACTTTTAAACTATAAAACAAGTTGATTTGCGATTGCTACTATAAACATAAATATTAAAAGCATTATTATGAAATTTTCACAATACCATACAAAATCTCATAATTGCATCCATCACATTAATACAATATACAACGTAATTAATATATGTTTATTAATACATAAATTATTTAAATGTTTTAGTAATCTTAAAATTTATTAATTAATAATATTTAAAATAAATTAAATTTATTTATATATTTAATAGTAAATTTATTAATACATAAATTATTTAAATATTTTAATATACTGTTTTGATAATTAAGATTTTTTTATTGTATACATTTTAAATAATTATTTACAAATAAATAAAATATAAATTATTATTGATCTGTTA